TGAGAGTTTGGAGCAAAGGCTGAGGAAGTTAAAGTGTTTAATAGAGAAGTTTGGGATCCATGGGAGTACGTTGGGCGTACCCACATAGTACGCTATGCGTACTAGCCCTAAAGGGTGTACGATGGGCATACCAGATGAGTACGCATGGCGTACTCGGTCTGGTTAACCCTCTTTGTTTTGTTAACTATTTGGGATTTAGAACATGGACCAAAAGTTGCTTAGGGTTGACCATTCAGTATTTCAGGCCTTTTTGGATATTGGGCCTTCTCGGGATATGTCCATGATGGATTGTGACCTAATTGGGATAATTGGGCCTTATTAGGCATTGTGGTGTCATTTCGAGTTTGGACTATTAATTGGGCTTGTATTGTTTGAGGTTTAGTTGGGCTAGCTATGAATATGTGTTTTGGTTTAGAAAAAGTAAATGGGATTTAGGAGAAGGCCCATGTAAGGGTTTGGGCCCAATTTGGAAAATTAGGTAATTAGTGGGCTTTTATGGATCTCATGGTTTTGGGCTTGGGCCTTAGTTGAGAGTCTTGTTGGGCCAGCGGTAAAATGGTTATTTTACCCCAAGTTTGGATTATGGATCACAATTTGGAACCCAATTGCTAATTGGGTGATATTGTGGTATTGTTAGCCCGGAAAGTTATCATGGCAGCAACTAAGGATTTCTTGCATTGAGCTTCAACTTTCGAGGTGAGTCTTCTCACTGTTCTATGGGTCGAAGACACCAATTACGGCCCATTTGGTTTATGTGATGTAGGAAGATCCAGGGGCGACCCTTGGTATTTATATTAAAGACTAAGAGGCGGCTCCTGGTAATCTGTATGAAAGACCAGAGTCTGAACTTTTGCAATTAGTTAGTTAGAAATGGTAGATTGTATGCTAGTTGTCTTTGTGATACTTGCATGGAAGACCAGGAGGTGGCTCCTAGCACTTTTCTATAAGACCCAGGGTTTTAGCTCCCGGCCTAGCAAGAAAGACCACAAGGAGGCTCGTGGCATAATGGCAAGACTATGGATGACATATAACACTTTTATTGATTGTGATATATGTATGATACGTATGGCTAGATGTTATGAATGTTATTTATGGATCGATTGGTATGTGTGGTATGTGGTATTTGGGGAACTCACTAAGCTTTGTGCTTACAGTTTGTGGTTTATGGTTTTAGGTACTTCAGGTTCGATAGGGAAGGGTCCGACTTGATCACATCGCATACACCCGTGTTTTCCGTAATGTGTGATTTTGGGAATGAACTCTGATAAATGTTTTGTATTGAAATATTTTGCAATGTTTGGAAAAGATTACTCTAGTGTTTTGAATATAATAAAAATAAATTTTTTACCCTTGATTTTTAGGATGTTACAAGTTGGTATTAGAGCCTTGGTTTGAGGAATTCGGGCATACTCTTGGGTGTGCCTTGACTCAAACTGAGGGTTTGGTGAAAATTTATATAAAATAAACATTTAAGTAAAAAGAATTTTTTTAATCAAGAAAGAAGTGTGATGCATGCAAACGGCCGAGCTCAGGTAATCGGTTCCAAGAATACCAATACATGTTTATTGTGATATATGTTATGGTTATGAGAATTGCATGCTAGATTAGGGCTAAGTATCCGCTCAATATAATATGATAGGAGAGATGCCTTTTATGTGGCTAATTGTATGAGCTTTAGAATTGAATGCTAGTATGGATTCTAGATGAGTGGATAGAATGGCTTGATTAGTGTACGTTGGTTAGATTTTTTGTTTCTTGAATGTTGCTTGCTTTGTGTTTTGTGGGACTCTTAATGACGTGAACTAACTACTAAGTAAATATGCTAAGTCACAAACAACACATGTTAAATAATCTTAGAGTGATGGATTTGACCCTATTATGCAACTCTTGTCTGAGTCTAACCGTTCTAGGGCTCAGTCTTTTACTCGAAGGATTATCTGATCTCTGTTGCATACCTACATGTGACTATGTTCATGAGGAAGCTAGTTAACATTGGTGGGAGTCCTTCAACAGATGAGGGCTGGGTGAGGTCGGGAACCTAGGAAATCCTAGGATATACTTCAGTGGGTTAGTGGCGCGGTTTAGTGAGCTTTGGAGTTTTGGTTTAAGGAAGTTACTTAGAGGATTTGGAAGGATTACCGAGGAGAGTATGGATAGGTGTGGATGGTAGTATTGGGCACGTATTACTGAAAGCACATGATCCATACTCGAATCAGTGAGAGTCTCAGAGAATATAAGAAGCTTATGGGAGGAGCAATCTTTTGCATGTTTTGATCATTGGCTTGTTGTATTTTAGTTTGGAGATGAGCATTCAAGGATGTAGTTCTGGTTCTGGTACTGGTTCAGGTTCCGGCTCATGTGCATGAGCTGAGCTGATTAGCGAGCAATTGTGAGAGTTTATTTCATCGGATATTTCTCGCAGTATTTCGGAGATCTTGGATGAGTGCTTGGGCGCGTTCCATGTAAAGATTATGGTTATTGTTGGAGCTCACACACTTTCTTTCTGGGAGTTCCGTGCTTGTGGAGCTCCTACATTCCATGGGGAGAGGGACCCCATTGTTAGTAGGAGGTGGTTAGAGGATATGGCTAGCACATTCATGATGAGTTTGTACCCCGAGGAGGCGAAGGTTAGATATGCTTCCTGTTGGATTAGGTGTCTAAGACCATAACTATAATTGGTATGCACTTGATTTGATAGTAACATGGTCCTTTTGGGTTGCCTTCACTTATGCAACTTGACAGGATGAGTCGGTGGAGAGAGAGTATGATTTATTATTTGAAATAATAAATTGGTACTTGAAATGATTTTATTACTATATTATAAGATTAATATATTATTTGGAAATCATATTATTAATTAGTATTTAATCAGAAATTAATTTGGTATTAAATTTGGGGTTAAAGGAACTGATTAATAACAGAGGGACTGTTTTGCGAATCATTGATAGTTGTAAAATTGGGCTAATGGACTCCTTAATTAGGAGTTGACGAAATCATATAGGGAGGCACTGTAGATTTCATCCAAGGCCTATTGGTAACAGGTCTATGGGCTGCTTAAGCCATAAGCATGAAATTAGGGTTTCCTCCAGAAACCCTAGCAACCCACAACTATATAAGGACCCCTACGCCTATGATTTTCGGCTAATGACTCTTGATAGAAACCCTAGCCGAAATTCTTTGGGTATTCCATCATCTCTTCTCTCATCTTGTTGCATTGGGTGTTTGTGAACCATTAGAGGTGCAACATTTGGGGCACTAAGCTTTCAAGAGTCAAGGATTATGGTTCACGTTGTTGTTCAAAGGCTTTTCTGAACGCGTTGCAGGCTATGACAACGCAAGTAATCTCTTCTATACCATTATCTATGGCCTCTACCATGAAATCAATTTGGATTATGGTTCTATCCTTTGGACTCAACGCATTTAGAGCACAACCTTTATTACACACAACACTTAGATATCATGCGCTCTTTTTTGGTCAACCGTCATCAAAAGAGCCCTAGTTTACTTCAAGGTTCCTATGACGGATGATTTTGTTATTGCTACAATTTTGATTCTATAGACGTCGATATTTATGATGTCTGACCGTAGCAAGTTTAATTTTGTTGGTTCAGTTCTGGAGGTGATGCTATCGAGGGTGCATCAAGATAATGTTATCGTGAATGAATATCGGAAATCATCTCCTTTTGGTGCTCACCCTATGTCAGATGACCTGCAAACAGTGATGGAGGACGCCAATAAATCAAAGAGGGGTGCAAAGCAAAAGGGAAAAGTTGGTCCTTCTGAAGTCGTTAAAACTACGAATAAGGTCAAAAAGCCAGCTTGGAATCCAAGGTCACCTTCTCCAGCAGCTCAGGAGGCTTTGGAATCTAGAACTCACACTGATATTCAAGAGGATCTAGCTCAGAATGAAGTAGAAGACACTGCCACCACTTCGCAACCACCTACAACCGCAAGAATTATGACGGTATCCCCTCGACCTACATCTTTTACTCCCTTTTCTGATTTATTTCAGATGAACACTCCACCATCCTCTCCGATAACTACCAAGATTTCGATCACCATAGCTCCTCTAACACCATAGTTTTCTATTAGGGTTTCACTTCCTCAGATTCCTGTTCCATTCTCCACTCCACTCTTTACCGATTTCACTGCAACAACAACAACAACAACAATCACTAGTGCACCCGAAGTCCCTGTCACCAAATCTGTTTAAGAGGCGGTACACACTTTCGACATTCACGCCAATGTGTCTGATACAGGGGTTGGTGTCAATATGGGCGTTACTTTGGATCAAGGCACTTCTACTACTTCACCATTCAATGATGACGATCCATATATTATGTTTGCGGATGATCAACATCATTTTCAAGATTTTAATTTTAGCCCTTTCACCATCTACCCAAACAGTGATGATGATGAAGCACCAATGACTAAAGGGAAATTTAAACAACTCAATGAAAAGTTGGATTCAATTATGGAGTCTTCAAAATATTCAACCAACTATAAGTATATGCTAAAGTATTATCAACCCACAGTTGAAACAATCACGAAGGAGAATGCCAAAGTACTTGTTGAATCTACAAATATTATTCAAGTAAGAGAAAACCATCTTTGAAATGACCGAAAAAGTCAAAAAGCTACATGATGAAGTGATAAAATTCATGGATGAGTTTCGACGCTCTTCTGACGAAAACACTGAGAATGTTAACAAAGTCATTGCGAGTCTTGGCTCCACTCTACAAAAAGAGAAAGAGGCGCTTTCTCGTGTTCGATCCGAAATCAAGGTTGATAATTACGGGATTAATGCCTCTGTTGTGTCTAAGATTGAAAAACTTCAGAAAGGCCTTGCTATAGAATACAATCTCATGGATAACTTGGCTCAAAAGACTGAGAAAGCTAAGGTACTTTCGGTAAAGTTGAATTAAACCAACTAGCATCTAGATGATTTGGAATCAGAGAAGACTGTTATCAAGAGCTATGCTTTAGAGGTTAATCAATATATGCACAAACCGGTAGAGACTCGTGATTCACTGCTCATAGTCTCGGTACGACAATATCTTGCAGACAAAATCAAACCAGTTTTTTCAATGCTCAATAAAATTGAAGGTGTTTCGGATCGTGATGATCTTCCAAAACAAGGGAGAGATAATAAAGACCAAACCAAAAAAATGACTTCTGAACCGATTGGTGAAAATGAGCAAAAACCGAATTCGAATCCTAAGGATCAGAAGGATAATAAAGCTTCTGGATCTAAAGGAAAAGAGAAGGTTATTGATGATGATGAGGAGGAGGAAGAAGGGCTCTCTAAAGGTGAAAAACTTATAAGAAAGAAATGCAACATGGAACTTGATAATCTTTTAAATCTTCGACAAGAGTTAGAAGCAAAGGAGGCCGAAGCTGAAATTGCAAAAGTCACTCTTGCAACGCAGAAGTCGCTCTTTCCTCCGTGGACATTGGAAAGAATTCAAAAGGAAGCAGGTGATGATCCGACCACTCACTGGTTGGAGCCTTCTGTATCGTTTGAGCTGGATAATATTGTTGACTCTCAACTCGACTTTCTGATCACTCCTAGGGCTTTTTTGTTCATATGCTCTGAGAAGATTGAGAAAGCTCCACTTTCTGACTATGATGTTAACCATACTCTCTTCTCTTTCTATCTTAAGTATGGAAAGCCTCAATTCCAAACTTGGAGTTTACATAAGATTGTCGTTGTGAAGGTTTATGCTCTTATTATGTGACATCCCCAAAATCACGGCCAGAAAAGACCGATTTTGTTTATGCTTTATAAAAATCAGAGTACTTCATTTTATAAAAAGGTTGCGGAATTTGTTCCCAGAAAAACATGGTAAATACGTTATTAAAACATTTTCGAAGAAACGTATTTATTTCATTTTAAAACATTTGGGATGTCATCGTTAATACAGGAACATAAGCATAAACTGAACTTACAATTATTCACACTAGTGGTCTACATCTCTTTAAATCTCTCAGTGTAATGTCACTTCATATCAACATCTGTGGTATAAATAAACTGAGTGGGTCAGGTTGGGAAACCTGGTGAGCACATAGGGATTTCAATCCCACAATGTTATACCATATATATAGTTTAAAATTCACAAAATATACAGTTTCACCATACATATATATAAACAACTCTTATCCCACCCCGTCGATCATCGCAACGAGGCTATCCATACTCTCGGACCTAAGATTAGTCGTTTTACCTACTCCATACTCTCGGATCAGAAATGAACGAATTTACCAAATCCATACTCTCGGACTAGGGACGAATGACTAATCCATACTCTCGGATTAAAGATGAATGATTATGCCTAATCCATACTCTCGGACTAGGGACAATAGCTAATCCATACTCTCGGATTAACGACGAATGATTATGCCTAATCCATATTCTCGGACTAGGGACAATGACTATGTCTAATCCATACTCCCGGATAAGTGACATATACTAACTTCTATTCTCTGAGTTTAACTCACTTGTACTCGTAAGAATATACTACCCAATATTCCTCATATTTAATTTAGGTCTACTCTTTATCCTAAATTATCAAATATAATCAGGTATGTTCTTTAACAGGAATTTCAAGCAACATCAATTAACTCGCACATAAACATATAATTAATACTTCAATCAATACTTGTATTAAAATCATGTTCATGAAAGGGACTATGCACTCACCTGAGAAGGTGGTGACTCGGTACTCGGACAGCGCTTCGTTTACTTTAAAATAATTTCCTTCGACGAAACCTAGTATTATCACCAATAGATTTTAGTCTATTATTCGCCGAGACTAATTAATAGTCTAGCTATTATTACTATTATATAAGCGTTAAAAAAATACTTATATAACCCATAATAATAGCCCAAGTATTTATTATATGTTCTTAATAACGTTAATATAATTAAATAAAAACTATATTAAAAATAGCGTAGACGTAGCTCACTTACAGCGGGTTTTATAGAAAACCAGGCTTTGCTTGGAGCAGCATTTCCGAGCCGAAAAGCTCTTCTTCTCGGAGCCGTCGAGCACTCCGGGGCTTCCGCCTCGTGCTAGGGAGGTTCCCTAGGCTTTTCGGGGGATTTCGGGGCTAGAGAGAGGTTCTAGAGAGAGAGTAAAGAGAAGAAAGAATGGGAAAGGTGTGAAGAAAATGAGGGTGGGAGAGGTGGTATTTATAGGGTGAAAATGGCTGAACTTGGTGCCACATGTCACCATCTAGTGGCAAGACTTGGGGAGAAAGCAATGGCCAAGATTGTGCCACATCACCCATTTTCGCACAACACACTTCCGACTTCTAAAATCCGTAACTTTCACATACGACCTCCGTTTTTGACGTTCTTTATATCCACGCGTAGGTAAAAATAATATCTACAACTTTCATTTTGACTCCGTCGGCTAATTCTCGACCGATCTTAAATTTAACAGTACGAGGTGTTTAGACTGTTAAATGACTGCGAAGAATTCGTAACTTCTTCATACGGACTCCGTTTTCGTCTGTCTTTTTACCGTTGAGTTCTTATTAACGAGACCTTCAACTCTCATTTATTTCACGTAAGCCAAAAACCGCTCGAACTAAAATTCGAGTTTCGGGCTGTACACTGCTAAGCCGAATCTTAGAAAAATCATAACTTCCTCATACGAAGTCAGATTTGGGCGTTCTTTTTATCGACGCTCTTAGTTTAACATATTCTACGACTTTTGTTTAGATTTATAAGGCTAAAAATTCTTCTATCGTAAATTCACTATTTACGTCTTCCGGTGCCGTGCCGGTTTTGCCGTAAAACTTCGGCGGGCCATAACTTCTTCGTTATAACTCGGATTTCGGCGTTCTTTATATGTACGGAAACCTTGTGACATATTCTAAAACTTGGTTAAGACTATTCATTATAAATAATCTTTTGTCGAAAAGTCATTTTTGACCCCTATTGCCTCTAAATTGACTAGCCCAGATCTGCAGGCGTTACATATTACAAATGAAAGCTTCATCAACATCAAGTTCAAAGGATTCAGAGGAGAAAGTCGTTCAGAAGATGAATTTACACTTGTTTTTTTTACTATGCATGAATCTATATGATTGGATTTATTAGTTCCTGGTTTTGTCTAAAGACGAGCATAAGTATGAGCCGATTGTACCTCATATGAAGATGATGCTTATTTGCTACATTCAAGAGTTCGCAAAGATGGATATGGAAATAGCATCTGTTTTTAAAAAGAAGCCGATTCTGAAACCTGAAGAGGAATCGAAGGATCTACAAAAGATGAAGCTAGGAAAAATCCAAAAAGACAATTGGAGCTTGGTGTACCAAAGGAATGTTTATAAAAAATTTTAGAGGTGTATGTTCTTCTTGCCAGACAAAAACTTACACTCAACTTCTGCTCTGAACTACGTCATGAATTTAATCGAAGCTTGTAAAGTGAACGATTCTGGTGATTAGAAATGCTTCTCCAACATGATCAAGTGGTACATCGTTGTCAGAAACACCCTTTCTAAGTTTAATGCAAAAGTTATTCAAGGTGTAGAAAAGACAAAAATCATAGAAGAACTCCTTCCTTATTTGACACAAAGGGGGAGATTGTTGGGCTTATCAGTATTGTGTCAAATATGTTTTGTATAGGTTTATTTGTCCCAAGATGGTCCTATCCATTCTCATGTTTTTGCTTATCGTCTAGCCTATAAATATTGCATGCATGTATCAATTAGGGTTAACGTTTTGTTGCCCTACATAACTCTTATAGAAAAGTTCTCATTGAACTCTTCTAGGGTTATTATAATCAAAGCATTCAACACTATTTTGATCATTGCTCTTTTCATTTAATTCATGTTATTTACAATAAAATATATCAATCTTAGTTTTATTGTTCTACAAAAACAGGGGGAGCATCAGAACTGGACGTTCCTTTGGGTCCACTACTACACGAACAACATGGGACTTTCCCTTCCAGTTCAGCTTGGGAGGACCTTTCCTCTTTTTCCTTTGACCAATGGCTAGAACAGGGGTAGCAACACTGCAGCAGGAGTGGAGGTAACACCTTTTCCCTTCATTCCTGCTTCAGCTGTTCGCAAGAGGTTGTGCAATTGTGATAAAATAGTTTCATTGTTGTGCAAATGGTAGGTCAATATGAACTGATCATAACAACTTTGTAGAGAATTCAAAATTATGTCAATTTCCAACTCTTCATCAAATTTCACATTTAGTTTGATGAGCCTATCCATGTATCGTTGCATTCTTGAAACATGGTTGCTTACAGACTCACCATCCCTCATCTTTCACGCCATAGGGGAATTTACCACCTCATACTTTTCTTGACGAACTCATTTATGGTACTTTTCCATAAAGTCCTTGTTTATCTCGTACGACCAGTAATCCTCATAGTGTCTCTCCAATTCTGGGGTCATTGTAGCCACCATGATGTAAGCAACTTTTGTTGCATCCTTATAGTGTTTCTTGTAGGCAGCTACTTCTTTAGGAGTGGCCTTTGTTTCATTGATCTGATCGAGTGGTTTTTCGAGGACATACTCTTTATCCTCAAAACGAAGTACCATTTTGATATTGTGCATCCAATTTCACCATTGCACAAATGTTCATTAAAGATATGTTGTTGGAGGAGGAGAAGGAGGAACCAGAAGCATCATTAAGAGTAGACATCTGAAAGAATAGAAAATGAAGTTTTAGTTAGATGAGAATAATCCTTAATATAACTCCCAAATGAAATATCAAGGCTATGATCCAAATAAATAATTCACAACTTAGAAAAGAGATGTCGTAATCTAATTATAAACTATATAAAGGTAGGTAATGACGATTTACCAATTTCACCACCAAAAACAAAATTTGAACGAATTAGATGTTGAATGAAATTCCTATATCTTTTATGAATCATTGAACTTTTCAATGGAATGTTTAATCATGATTATGCTCTTCCATTTGTGACTGGGATACCGAAGATCACAAATAAGATGTGAATAACCATGCAAATTAGCTTGGTACTCTTGATGTCATTTATCATCTCATTTTATTGTGACAGTTAGCTACATGTGCTCCATTAATCAATGATAATTTATGAGACATCCATTGCCACTCTTTATTAGTCACTATTAGTGTGTCGGTTATCCACACACGCTCCACTAACGACCAATAAAGTGCAATGCGTAATTTCATAGATTAGCATATAATTTCACATTTTTCTAAAGTAACTAAGATTGGAAATTTTATAGAATATATTTAGTTACTTTATAGATCATTCTACTTATTGATGAGAATTAAGTGTTCTATCAAACCTGTTCGGCTAACAACCCTCCACCAAAAAAGAAAGAAGTGGGTGAGAGTGGACACCCATTCTATCACCTTTTATATGCAATTTCCATATACTCCCCTTATAGATCGGCTTTGTGAATGAGACGTACTAGCGGTTCGACTGACTTGTCTTATATATAGTAATATAAGGGTGTATTTTTAAAACATATCAAATTACATTTTAAAATATTCAGTTTTATCTAATTAAAACAATATTAAGGTAATTATCCTAATCAATCCATAAGATAACTGAAAAAAATCAATTTTTTAGGATCTGACAGCACAACACGCCGTGGTGAGCAATCACCATGCCCTGTTAGGTTGAAATCGCATGCCAACACACCGTGTTGGGAGAACTCCACAACATGTTAGATGAGCAAAATGATCATTCTGTTTTTACCTCCTTGTTCAAGTTCACATTAA